ATAATCTCTTATATAAATAAATCCTCTAATAACAATAAATATCTGATCTATAATATAATATAAGTGTTATAATAAACTAATAAACCATTATTAATTTTACTGTTGTCCATATCATTCACTTATTTATAAACTATTAACTTAGCATTAATTGCTCACTGCAGGTTATGTGACAAGACTATATCATAATAAAAAAGTTTCAACTCTGATTTGACATAGAGTAATTCTAGTTGAAGTAGACAAGAGAAGACTAGATTAGTAAAAAAAAAGATTGCAAAAAAAAATTAGAAGAAAAGATACAAGTACTTATCTACAGATAAACTATTAGCAAAATCTAACATGTCTATTTCAACTTAGCCACTGTAGATTATGCAAAAGTTGAATTAGTTTAATAACAAACTTGCTAATTTTAGAGTCACACCATTATTAGCTTCAATCTTTTAAACTTATTCTTAAATACTACTTTAAATATACTGCCTTTAATAAACAACTTAGACAATTAAACCTACTTATCTTAAAAAACTTTGCATTATAGACAATACTACATTTCTTAAATGACTACATCTATTACCAAGAATTCATTATTTGCCTAAAGACAGAAAACTAATTTAGTTCACTAAACTCAAAATATTACTATAGAAAATCATTATTATTTATTTTTTTAAACTCCAATATTAACATCAAAAAACTAACTTCTTTATATATAATATATACAATATTCTTAAAAAATATAAACTATATTTGATTACTTTTAATAATAAGAAAATTATTATAAACAAAATCTGTAAACATCTTACAGATTTTAATCAAATATCAATTATATACTGACAAGCAGACATTAATATAAACAATACTAATTACTATTTATTTTGACAGATTAAGCTTGTTCTTTGTTTAGACTGTCAACTTAACTTAAAATAAATAATTTATTTGTTACATTAGCCCAATTTTTTGATAAAATTATTTCAAACTCAGTTAAAATAAACACAAACTATTTAGACCTTCTCAACTTTGCTACAATTAAATAGACTCTGCCAAACCTTTTATTACTACTAATGCCTTTTATTTTTATTTTTAACTCCATTTTATCTACAATTTTAAAGCAAGTAAAATAACTAAGAAACTTAACCAAATATTTTTTAATAACTTATTACATAATTTATTTAACTTCTATACTAATATGCAGTAATTAGTATGAGTACTAATAACAAAATTATTGGTATTAGCTAGTTCAAGTAGATCTTAATAACTAAGTTATTTACAAATTTGTTGTTAAAGTTCACTTTTAGTTATTTTCTTACAAATCTTAACTCTTTTTTATTCTATTTGCTATTTCAACTACTTTCTAAAACTTTATAATTAACATCTATACAAACTTTCAATTAATAATATCAAAATTTGTTCAACTTAATTAGTTATCTCTAAACTCTAATAACTTTTTAAATTTAACTTCTAGCCATTATGATATACTTTATTAAATATTATTAAATCATAAAAACTAAATATTATCTTTCATAAAATTCAAGCCCACTTAGACAACATCTTTAACAATCTAGCAAACTCACTTGCTAAGCAACATATAAATAAACCTTTATTATACTTAAACTATACAAATATTCACAATCCATATCATTTATTATTCTTTAAAACAAAAAAATTTCCTATTAAACTTCTTATCAGATACTTTATCAAAAGTATTTGTAAAGCTTATAATTTTGCATTATGCTTATTATAAAAATTAAATAATGAATAAACTCCATTAGTCTACTATATTGACTGAAATTTTACTTAGTTATACTTTAATTATAATTAAAAATCTATTTACAACTATACTAATTTTAAACTTAACTAATTCAAATTATTTAAAATTAAAATACTTTTTAATAAATTATCTAACCAACATTTCTATTATAAAATTTACTCTCTAACTTTTTACAATACTTTTGTTTTTATTGTAATTTTATTATATTATTATTATATTAGTATACTTATGCCAACTCTTCTTTGCTTAATAGCATTATTTCTAATATAATTACTAACTATGTGAACTCTGAAATTTAGACTTCTTTAATAGTCAAATTAAAGAACTTATTCAAAAAATTAATAACCATTTAACTTTCAAAAAACATCTCTTTATCCATCCTTATATTATTTAGAACTTATTCTTAAAGGGTTTATTCTCTTATCTTTAAATAAAACTATTCAAAATCTAGAAGTTCTATACAAACTAGCATTAACAATTACTATTAATATTTTGCTTAAAATTAATAAATAAATCTATGAACAATTATAGAAACCTTACTGCATTAATTTTTCAAATTAGAGAAAATAACAATAATTAATATATACATATTCTAATTAACAAACCTAATCTTCTTACAATAAAAATAATATACATAATCAAAATAATTTTATATACTCTTGTTTTTGTAGTCAACCTAACCAACTTCATTTACATACTGGAGTCTGTTCACTTATTGAACTGGTCTTTAGAAAACACAATACTTGGTCCACTCAGTAGATCAAGTATAACACAACTTCTAACTTTATTTTAACTATAAATAATATTATCTAAGTGAGTTTTTAACTATTTTAGTATATTTAGATTGCAGATAAATTAGATTTATTTAATTGTCTGAGCTTTTATTTTTGCATAAAAGTTTTCTTTTTATTTGTATTAGTACAGATAATAGACATGTATATACTGCTTATATATTACTATTTTATAAATTACTTAATAAAGATACAAGCAAGACTTTATTTAAAAAAAATGTATACATAATATACAAGAATATAATAATAATTTAAAATAATAAATATAAAATTTATTGTTTATTTTATAATATTAACATTGTCAATATTATAGAAACTAAAATTTTATAAAACAATATAGATATTAAAATTTAAGAATTCTAATATTTTACTTATTATTAGTTATGTACTAATAATTATACAATTGAAACAGTAATCATAATTCAAAAGTATTGTAAACCATATGTCTGCAAAACTCTTTAATTTTTTAATTATACTATAGTCATAAAAATTTTTTAAAACATAGCTTTAATTCTAAATTATATCAGTCTGCCTACAAAACATATACAATTTTTGATTTTCACCTAACATAGTAACAAATACAACAGTTGCATTAACTATATCTGGGTTAATTATTTATTATTTAATATTTAACCTCTTATTATACAGATAATTCTAACCAAAATATACTTAATGATTATAATATACTGATATTATTCTAAAAATTTCTCTATACTATTACTAGTAAACAGCAATTAGTAACTAATACTAAGTAAAGAGTTTTTACTTATAAACAAATAAATCAGAATCTCTGACAAAATTTTGCTAACCAAATTATATCCAATCTCAAAACTAATAATGCTTCTTCTATAACCAATATTACAGAATCACTTGAAAGTTGTCCATAAGCTTACTCTTTTGTTAGGTAGTTGTTCTTGTATTCTTGCTCATGTGATAATCGTAAAGCGTGCCGTTAGCCTGTCTGGTGGATTCTCGACGTAATTAAGACCACCGTAGTGATTGTTTCTCAGTACTCCCGATGTACCGTGGATAGTTGAGGTTTTTGCTTGTTCCGGTTTGAAGTCCAAGTGGAAGGTCCAAGCTGTGGTTTCGCAGGATTGATAGTGTTACATACAAGTGAATAGAGGAATATAGTTAGTGTGTTAGTAAGCCGTATCGGAAGGTTTATGTCAAGTAAAAGAGTCATACCTACGATCATAATTCCCCGTTCGCAAATATAACCGCCTCTATCGACTAAGCCCATTCGTAGGTTACATGACATTCCCGATTATGGAGCGACTGACCCGCCGTTTAAAGTCGTCAATATATCTAAAACCGACAAAACATCCATCTTAACTTGTGGGCACAACATCGGCCAGATTTATGGTTAGAGATAATGTTAAGGTATGTGTATTTTAGTAATACCGATCATTGTTGTCGGGCAGTAACGGTAAAAAAACGAACTTCCTAAAATAGTGAACAAGGGTCTTCAATATTGTAAAAATTCTATAGATATGCGTTGCACGAATATGCAATGCTCATATACATAATTGGAAAAAAGACAAAAACACAATGTATTATATAAATACCCTCAATGCTGTAAATTTGATAAGACATATATTCTTTCATTACGTCAAAATGTCAATTGCAAACCAACCAGAAAAAATTGACGATCAATTAGATGTTATTAAAATATCCAACAAAATTAACCAAGTTCATTTAGAAAATAAGTCACAGGATTTTCTTAATGAAATTATTAAAGAAATGTATGATTTGTATAGCGAGGAAGTTTTGAAATGCAAAAAAAACAGTTTAATTCTTGACGCCTTGGAAAAATTTCTGATAGACAAAAAGCAAAATCCGGATACTATTGTCAAATATATCCTAAATAATCAATTCGATCTCATTGTTCAAATCATTCTTGCACTTTGTTATGAATGTGGAAAATGGGTTGAAAAAGATGAAAACAAGGCATTCATTTATTATCAAAAATCTGCAGAAATGGGGGACGCTAGTGGAACATGTCAAGTTGGATATTGTTATCAACATGGAATTGGAGTTAAAGAGGATGAACATAAGGCATTCATTTATTTTCAAAAATCCGCAGAGATGGGTGATGCTGATGGAGCATTTAACGTTGGAGATTATTATCTTGATGGAATTGGAGTTGCAAAGGATGAACATAAGGCATTTACTTATTTTCAAAAATCTGCAGAGATGGGGCACGCTGGTGCGATATATAATGTTGGATACTGTTATATTTATGGAATTGGAGTCGAAAAGGATGAACAAAAGGCTTTTGAATATTATTTAAAAAGTTCCGAATATGGACATTGTTGTGGAATGCATTCTGTTGGTCAGTGTTATCAAAATGGGATCGGTGTAGAAAAGAATAAAGATTTGTCTTTGAATGGTATTTAAAATCTGTCATTACTGAACATGAATGTAGTCATGATAACTATTTTCGTTGGATGGAATACGATAATTTTAGAAACATTGAAGAAGTAGGTAAAGGAGGATTTTCCGTAGTGTATAAAACATCACATGAAGTATATCAAGAAGTTGCAATCAAGATAATAACAGATTCGCATAAAAATAAAAATCGTTTTTTAAACGAGGTATTTTTTATTTTTATTATTATTATTTTATTTAAATTGTTTATTAATTAATTGTATATAATTTTTCTATTTTTAGTTAAAAGCATATCATGAATTTGGTAAATACTATGGCATATCAATGGATAAAACTACTGGAGATTTTGTTTTAGTGTTAAATTACGCAAAATTTGGAACATTACATGAAAATCTTAAAAATATATTTAAATTGGAGTGGAAACTTAAACTAAAAATATTATACGATATCGTTTATGATCTAACAAATATTCATTCTAAAGACTTTATACATCGAAATTTACATTCTGGTAATATTTTATTAAAAGAACGATATAAAGCTTATATTGATTTAGGTTCATCGATATCGGTTGATGAAAAACAGGATGGTCATATTTATGGAGTCTTACCATATTTAGCACCTGAGGTCTTGAAGGGAGAACAATTCACTCAAGTAGCTGACATTTACAGTTTTGGAATTATTATGATAGAAATATTAACTGGTCGAAGACCTTTCGATGGTTACAATTTTGATGCTGAATTAGCAGCGATGATTTGCCATGGATTGCGACCTGAGTTTATTATAAGGACGCCAAAGTGTTATGTTAAATTAGCCAAACAATGTATTAATTCAGATATAAAAAAAAGACCTACGATTGTTGAGATTATTAATAAACTTGAAAATTGGAAAACCATTATAGTCGACAATAATAGCAATGCTAACTCAGATATGAAAAAAAGATTCAAAGCAGTTAAGATTTTTAATAAACTTAAAAAATTGAAAAAACCTAAACTAGTTAATGAAAGTAAAATTAAATTAGATAAACCGCTTATTGATTCAGATGAAGAGATCAAGCAGCAATTTTTAGAAGCTGATAAATCAATTAAAGAATTGCCAGTTACTTCGCAAAAACATGATAATATAATGTATATTTCTAAACTTATTGATACGAAAAAAATCGGTTTAGAAATTGATAATTTTAAGGTTAATTGATAACCTTGTTAGCAATTTATCTTTTAGATTTTTATAAATAGCAAGATTAAAGAATATATTTTTTATTGTCTTTAGACCATATAGAGTATTCTATATTGGTGTGAAATTTACTATATAATTCAGGTCTTGAAGTGTTGTTATAATTAACTAGAATAAAAATATAATAAAGAGATAATAAAAACATATTTAAGTAATTTGATATTTTAATATAAATATTATTTTTGTTATTAGTTTTTAATATTCTTTTTATTAAAGATTTGTAATTCTATTTAATCAAAGACTATATAAAAGTAATCCATTTTGGAGAGTTATCATTTACTGCATTGCCGAAGGTATGATTTGACCAATCATGATATAGGGTTAGGTGAAACGTGAAAATTGAAGCTATTATGGTTTGTTAAAAAAAATTTTAACTATGAAACTTTATTTTTGTTCTAACAAAAATAATTTCTCGCAAAATTTTAGGTTAAGGAATTTTTTAACTATTGCTTTGCCTAAACCCTAACCTTAGCTTTCATCTAGTAGTTGTTTGTTTTGATCTAATTATAGAAAAGCACGGCAAATTTTTGAAACATGCTCAAGAGTCATGTCTTTGCAAAGAGCATGCTCAAAACATGTTTTATAGATATATAAATTATCTATTATCAGGATTAGCAATAATAGATTTTAATTTAATTGGTCAATTACTAAATTGGTCAATTATAAAAGCATGCTTTTTGATCAAAGTATATTTTTAGACAGTGTTATTATAAAATATAAACATGAATAGCAGACATGTTTGAGACAAAACATCTTAGATGTGTTCAAGAAATTTTTTGTTCTGAACAATTAAAATTAGTATTGTTATATTTGTTATATTCAAGATTTTTTTAGATTGTTCAATGTACAAATGTTCACATGTTCAAGAATTTTTCACAGCATATGAATTTCAAAAATTAATCTTGTAATTTAAAAAAATTTTTTTTTTTGGTGTTAAAGTAAGGCCTTGCTTATATCTTTATTAGTAATTTTAGTTATACATATTAATATACTATATATTAAAGATATACTAAGATTGTAAAATACAAAATAAAAACTATATGCAAGAATTAAAGCTCAGATAACTTTATCTATGATCTAAATCAACTAAGGTGGTCAAGGTCTACTTAGATTTGTAATGTTAGAATATAATTATAGAATGTGCTATGATTAATTCAAATTGTTAATTATATATTAATTTTCTAATAGTCTGTCCAATTGGTAGACAAGTATTAAGATGTAAATATAGTTGATCTGTTATTCCATATAGACATGAGTATGTATAGTTTGTATGTGATCTTTTATAATGTTTAATTTTTATGTTTATTATGAAGCATTGTAATTATTAAAAGTTTGAAAAAATATAACGTTATTATTTTTTTTCTAGTTAAAGAAGTCAATACAATAAGGTTTTCATATTTGGTTATAGATTTAATTATTAATATCAAGAAGTATTTGAACAATTGTTTATAAGATTATTTTAGTAGGTATGTTGTAATTATGAATTATTTTAATTAAGACTTTAGATATAAGACCTTTAAGAATAAAATCAAGATAAAAAGAGTTTGCTTGAAATAGTATTCAGTCAAATAAGAAATGATTTTGAATTTTACGAATAAGTTTATATAGCTAACTAGTAGATAAATTGAAATTTGCTTTAAATAGAATATACTAAACTGATGAATTAATAATGTTTGTAATAAGAGAAGAGTTAGAGCAGATTAGTCAATATGATAGAAATCAGAAAGGTTATATCAAAAGCAGTTGAAATTCATAAAGATAGCTGAATAGATATTGTGAAGAACAAAGCATGTTGGTAGTTCATTTAGCAGAGCTTTGACTTTAAAAGCTTTGGATTGATAATTTAAAATTTTATAACTATTTATTTTTTATAATGTTAAGTATTTTTATTTAGGAAGAATGTGGTAACTTGGAGTAGTTAGTAAATTGTTAACTTTCAAGTAACAGGTCTAATGTTCAAATCCTGCTTATAATAAAATTATATCTATATAATGATAATTGTCTTTTGATAATCAATTTAATTTATATATCTGTAATTTTAGATGTATCAAGTCAGAGATTACTTATTATTGAAGTTCAAATATTTATGCAAATTATAAAGTTATATGTATATAGAGAAATGCTTATTAATATTATATAAGACTTTAGTGCAAATCTATAATAAGATTATTAAATTTAGAAGATTAAAAAACTGAAAAACAGAATTTTATTTAGCAATTCTTAAATAAAAAATTAGTACAAAATTTTAATCATATTATTAAACTAATAAAAGTCTATAAATATTTTCTAAAAAAGTCTACTAAAAATTGAATAATAAAGATATATAAATGAAAATATAATTAACTAAACTACTAAAAAATCTATTAAAGAAAAAGAACACAAAAGTATATTATATTAGATCATCTAAATTGATAGTTTAGAAAGTTTGGTTAGTACTAATTAAAAAAATTAATAAAAAATAATAAAAAAATATCAGAAAAATAGATACTAAACTTTAGATAAACTTTACAACAATAAAAATAATATAATATAATAGTTTAACAAAATATTTGTAATTATAAGTATTAGTCTAATTATAATATATTATTATATATAAAATTATATTAGTTATATATAGAATATAAAAAATTCTAGTAATAATATCATAAAAATTAATTATATAAAACAAGATAGATGTTTTAAAAAATAAATATTAGAAAAAAAATAAAGAGTTATATATTAATTAATAACTAAAGAATATATAATAATATAAATTACTTTTTTTTTTTTTTTTGTATTAAGGTAAGGTTTTGCCTTTATCTTTATTATTAATTTGTTATAGACAACTATATAAGTTGATACAGGCTGAAGCCAATTTACAAATTTTTTACAAGAATGAGACTCAGACTATAAACAAAATTATTATCTAATTTTATCTAATTTAT